ACTTTCATTACTTACAAAACTGCATTACTAATAATAATACAATGAAGATCCTCAATTCTTAGATTTCTGTTCTCCAATCAAATAATTTTTATACAAAAATTATCGTCAATTTGAATTAGATGTTATTATTAATGAAAAACACTTTCTATACTTCAAATATACGTTTTACATAAAAAATATTCTTTTTAAATATTTTAATTTCCAACTTAAATTTAAATTTTTCTAGAAATCAATGAAATTTTTAATAGCATGTAAAATGTTCACGAGCATTATATAAATATTTATTGCAAATCAAAGAATTATCTACCAAAGATAATTTCGTACAATTCTTAACTATGAGTTCCACGAATACAATGCAGTAGCTAATCGTAGTTAAATCGGTGATTTAATCGTTTTAATTGACGATATATTAAACATGGAAAATACCTAATGAATTAATTCCAAGGATATCGTCCAACTATTTACGAAGATTATCGTATTTAAACATCGTTTATTCAATTATTTGTTTTTATGTTATATTTATAGGAAATATACAATAAAGGATCAATATATATGTAATTATTAGTAGTTTCTTATAATTATTATAAATAATTATTATATATTGGATATAATTATTATTAAAATTATAAGTTTATACCTTAAGAAAAATTTATGTTCAACACATTTTCCGTTTTTTTTTAAATAATATATCGTTTTTATATATTTTATATTTCTATAATAGTAATAGTTTTTAAGTTGAAGTAGAAAAAACTATCGTTATTTGTATTTCTTGCTAATAGAATTTTTTAATTGATTCTCATTATTAGGTATTTATTTTTCAAAATGGAAAAATTTATATTAATTAATTGTTTTATTATTAGAATTATGAATAGTTTTTATATTTATCTATAAATTTTATAAAATATAACATATTCCTTTCTTTCTATCAATAAAGTTTTATTGTAAAATAAATAATAAAATATTATTTTCTTTGAATGTATTGTAGCCTTAATCTAGATTTTTTCAAAAGAAGATTATATTTTTTAATTTTTCAATAAGAGAAATTGACTTATCATTTGAATTGTGTTTTAAATATAATAATTTTTTTTATATATGGATATTTTTTTATAATATCATATAATTTCTTAATTATAATCTCATTATTTTTATTTATAATTAAATATTAAAAACAACCTAAAATTGATTTAGATTATCATTTTTTATTTCATGATTATTGAGGATTTCAATTGTATATACATATATATCATATCATAGATTAATCTATTTAGTTTAATCATATTTGATTGTACTATAGTTTTATAATCGTTACCAATATACTATATATATTTATATTGTAACTATGAATGAAGCCAAATCTCTTGAAAAAATATTTATTAAAAAATTTATATGCAAAGTCGTAAAGATTGTACGTGATAGAACAATGTAATATTTGCTGATGAAAAGGAATTTAATCTGTTTGAACTGAACGAATGTGGAATTATAGGACATAAAACAAATGAAGAATTGCAAATGAAAAATTTAAAACCAAGAATAAATTACAACGATGCATTTTGATCATATATAGCTAAACTAATTTTTATTGGTTGCATTCTAGGCAAATATAAAAATTTATAGAAAGATATCTTAAAAATAAAATTTTAAAAAAAATTTATTATATATGGTAAGTTTTATATTTAAATAGACAACAATCACAATATACGTAATATTATATTTTAATTATCCCACAATTGTGTTATTTCACATTTACAAAATTAAAATCTGATTAAAAATTTAAATTTGATTATGTTAATTAGACCGTAATATTCAAACAAAGTCTATAAAAACAGTAATAAAGTTTTTATTAATAATTTTCAAATTTGTAAATGGAAAGTAGCTAAAAATTATTCTATTATAATTAATAAAATTAATTTAAAAAAAATTGATATAAAAATTTCTTATAAAACCAGAAAATAACGATACATAATACCAAAGTAATATTACTACAGAAATTCTATATTACTATAGAAATGCTGTAATCAACAATTACATTTTTATTTTTGCATTAACATTCTAATAAATTCTCACTCGCATAAGTCATTGTTACAACAAGTAAACAATACATTAAATCTATCAATAGAAACTACAATTTCCTAATATGACAAAAATCAATCATAGAACAATTGTCAATCTCGGTGTTTCTTCCTTTTTTTTTTTCTCATCGAGTACTAGAAATCGGCCAACCAAACCGGGCCCATATTAATTATAATTCTTCTGAATAACGCGTGTCACGTGAAACACGCGCGACTTTTGTGGAACTTGCCTTTTCCCCTGTCGAGCCATGCATCACTGTCGTTTTACGTGTAATGTGTGACAACTCTGAACTGATGTCGGTCAATGGTTAATGACATCATCAGTCTCATACACCGAACAACGCTCGTGGAATGTAGCCGTGTATCTTCTGCACGGATCCTCGATGGTTTCCTTCCGTTTTTTTTTTTTTTTTTTGTTTTCTCCTTTGTCGTTTGCTCGGAATATTGGGAAATATGGAGCAAATTAATTGAGAGATGAGCACGAAAAGAAACAGTTTCGAAAAAGTGAAAAAAAAAAAAAACAGGAGCGTACAATGTGCACATAACTCAAAGTTATTTCGTCAATGTGGATTATTCGAGCTTTCTTTATCTATGAATTAGCTAATTATTATAATTATAAAATTATTATAAAATTTTTATAATTAATTATTATTATTATTATAAAATTATTATAAATATTATAATTTGGCTTCTTTCCAAATTAACTTGAAATCATTTTATTAGTCATTTGACTTGATTTGAGATATCTTTTCAAATTCATTCAGATTCTTTCAGCTTTTCTTTCGATGAATTTATGAACTTTTGAACATTTACAATTCTCTTCTGCTTTCATCCGGAAGAGGAATGGAGGTTGAGATTATTTAAAATTTTTCTTAAGACGAGAATTTCATAAAAATATTCGAAACGAAAGGAAAGTCAAGAATCAGACCATTTTCACGTACGAATTGTCAGTACATAGATATACTCACAATCAACTGCATTTACTCTACGTACACAGTTTCTAATCATTCCGTTTACGCTTTTCGATCATTGTATCCCCGCAAACACATCAGCATGTCAATTTGCATTCGCTCGATCACCACCCATTCTAACCAAATTTAATTAGTTTCAATAATCAATACACTAGAACTCCATTTATCGGAACTCATGGACAAAACGTTTGTATAGATGTTGATTTTCCTCCACCAACAATCATCTTTCCGTTTAATTAGACGTTTCGAGGAATGAATATAATATTATTTATAATCGTTCATCGTTGTATTTGTTATAACACTTGAATCAGATTTGCATCCAGTTGTTACATTTCAAAATGTAATTTCAATCTTGTAATTAGCTTTAAATTTTAATGCATAATGCGAATTATGAAAAATTGTAATATTTTTCTCCCTCTTTCTTCCTGATATATTCAATATATTCAATGTGTTAGTTTCACTATATAATTTCGTCGATATTTAAAATTCCTCTTCCTTTTAAATTACTTATCAGCATCCTTGACAATGCATACACATTTTAAGATACGAAATGGATGTTGTTACTTTATACATATTTGAAATTTCTGTTTTTCTCGCTCATAACGACACGTATAAATAAATTTTCTTTTTCTTTTTATATATAAAATCGATATATATCGATTAATAAACTGGGTGTTAAAATAAAATTTGTATTAATAAAGAAATGGAGATTTGTCTTATTCTTGGAGCAACACACAATGCTACACTATACTTTGAATATTTTCTTGCTTTTTTGCGCATCATATTCTTTAGATTTAAATTTTGCATAAACATTGCATAATCATTGACAATATTATTCATACGCATGTTATGTTAAAAATTGTTTATTGACACGTCCATCTCGTGGAGGAGATTAAATTTTATTATATCGAACGTTGGAATTAATTAGTCAAGTTAATAATCTTCTTTGGCTAATGTTGTGAAGTAATGCAGAGCATTCTGATTAAAGATTATTAGATATATAAAAAATACGTATGATAAGATGTATGTTTTTCTTCAATGATCAGTTTCTAAATCATTATACACTTCATTTACGATTGATGCTCGTGACGTAAGAAGTGTTAATCAGTCCCTCCGAAGAAAGATCTGGCTAATCTGCATGAATAATCGAATCTGTACGTCTAAACACAAGCGTAATTTATCATTTTATTATGCAATTATGCAATATTGTTCCATAATACATTTTGACATAACATGATGAAAATTGTCTTTTTCATCTTAATAAAAGTTGATCGATTATTAACTTGTTTTCTCTTAATCGTTGTGAAACACTTTCGTAAAAAAAATCAATTGAAATATTACGAATAACAATGTATGACTGAAAAGAAAATGATAAACATCAATATATATATATATTCCATGATTAAATTATAAATATTAAAGAAAAAATTAACAACTGTTGAATCACTTTTGATTATTCAACAGAAGTTGAGGATCAAGAATGCCAGAAAACCAGACACAATAATACAGATCTTAAATACATATTTTCATATTCGCAACAATTTTCCAAATTTCTATCTAGATAAATTCAAAATTAATTCTCCTCAAAAGAGAAACTGTTCTTCGTTCACAATTGACGCGTTTACAATCCTCCAACCACAACATATTCGCGCATAAGAAAGGATCAGACTTAAGAAGAAACGAAATCTAACGACCAGAAAAGGAAGGACACACGAGTTAAATTTAAACGCTTAAAAATTTATTGTGTACAATTGGAATCGACAAATATTTATACACGCAATATTACACATATTAATACACAACCATTACCGTATAGGCATCGTTGTTATCGAATCACAAGACTTCTAAAAAAAAAAAAAAAGTGTCAACCAACGTCGCGTTACAATTGCTTCGCTGACGTGACACCTGACGGTTCGATGACGAAAAAAAAAAAAAAATAAAATTAAAATTAAGTAAAGTCTATATATAAAAAAAAAAATACACTGCGTAACGATGAGCCTCGAAAACTTTCGCACTCGATCCATCGTCGGGTCAATCAACGCCTTATTTCTACTCTTATCATTATATCGCGTAGATCAGCGCGCACTGTCTTGCTCTGGATGGGCCGCAATGTACTCCAAAGCTTTGAGAATCGCGGCAGGGATCGGATGAGGGGTTGGAAGGTGTTCACCCTGCGGCTGGAAGCCATTTTCGTCGGCGACGTAGGTCAACGCGACGGGGGATCCCTCGGCGTTTGGATAAGTGAACGATCCTTGAACGACCACCACCGAATTCGTGTCGTTCACTTGCTTCAGCTGGCCGTGCTCCTCCACCTTAATGCCGTTCCCAGTTTCGTAGGTGAACACGTACGAGCCATCTGCGTTCGGCCCATCGGCGCTGTACGCCACTATAGGCACTGGCGTGTTGTCCACAGGCGCGGCGGATGCGGAAACCGCGATCATGGCGAAGACAGCGCAAGCCTGGAAAGTTTTCTATTGAAATCTCGTTCCGTTTTCGAATCGAAGAAGCTGTTCGTGGTGGAGAAAAATTCGATCGATCTTTGAGGATAGAGTATATTGGATGTTGAAAGCTGAGATGTTGTAAAATAGATTTGCTACATGTTTTGTTTAGTTATTGCTTTTGAAAATTGTGATTCTGAGAAATAATAAATTTGAAATAGATATTAAATTCTATGTTCTTGTTTGGGATAATTAGTTGGAGGGATGTAATAATAGATGATATATTTATAAGATTGTTTTGTTTGAGTTGCTGAATGAAAAAAAGGATACCTATAAATAATAATATTTCGTTTGCAATATGATAGAGATTAAATTTCGAATATTCACATTTAACTGAAATAATAAAAATTTAATAGAATAGAATAATTATAGGTTTGCATAATCCATTCAGATTGAAATTTATTTATTAAATCAGAAAATTGTAGATAAATATATATTAAAAATACTAAAAATGATATGCAATGTACAATTTAAATAATAACTGTTTTAATACACTGTTTAACTTTATAATATAAAAATAATTTTCAACTATTAGAAAAGACAATAAAGTTTAACATCTCTGATAAAAAAAATTATTACTATTCCCATATACGAAACAATTAAAAATCGCACCGATATAATTTTAATTGTACGAAAAAATTCTTTGTTCAAGCTATCATTCTTCTATTTTTAATTGCTAAATTTATGAATTTAATTTACTTTACGTGATTGCAATTATTGAAAAAGTACGCGACAAATCTCTGTCAATACAAGTTAACACGACCAACACCATACGGAACTCACCAAAGTGTTCATGTTGAGCTGTTTTCTGGTTGTAAAGAGCTAGTCTAATGGACGCGTTTATATAGCGGTGCCGAAACCTTGCGAGGTGCGAGGACCTCTCTCCCATTGATAGATTTCTGGCCGGGGCTTAGACACCGGCGAACGTTACGAAATTTTTGGACAGGGGGGTCTAATAGGGGGGCCACGCACGGTGTTGATCACCTGTACTCTTCAGACGTTCGACGTCTGATCGACGTATAACATCGTGCCTCTATGCTTTTTGGGGAAAATATTCGCATTTTCGTCGATTTGAAAACTTTTGGAGAGATTTACCAATCATCATCGTGCGACCGTGAGTATAATTCAGACGATTACTTTAAGAGAAAGAAAAAAGAAATGATTTTTTTTTTTTTATTGAAATTTGGAAGAATGTAATGCAAGAAGGGGGCGATGACGATTATAAAAAGAGAGTATCGATGATTGATATTTCACCATTTTTGTTTTATGCTATTTCTTTTAGCTAGAATTGAAATTTTCCTCTATTATAAATTGTAAGACAAGATATAATCGTTTACTGTTTCAGAAGAACTTATAAATGTATATAAGAATGAAAAAATTCATTGAATTTTCGTTGGAATCAGTGTCTGTCAATCATCAATGTTCCTTTGTAAATATTATCTTGGCATATTATTATACCCAGATGTTAAAATAAGTTATTAATATCTGCTTGTCGTATTCGATTAGATAATACGGTTGTAACATTTCAGTTGTTAAGAAATTGTTTCAAAACTTACGTTTTTCCTTTAACTTTTATAATACTTTCGTAATATCTCTCGTTTCACTGTCAGAGAGTGAAAAGTATGTGAAAGCCTCTGGAAAATTTTTCTAAAATTAATTATTTAGAAGTTTTTTAAAAATAAAATACATTTTTATCTCTTGCAACCAAACTGTGTGAAAACTAATAAAATTGAATTAACAAGTTTCTTTGAATCTAATTGAAGCCTCTGTCACGTTCTCATATTTATAAAATTATCTCGTTAAGTCAGTTCTAATTCCTAAACTTTAATTAATAAACATTAAATAATAATCAACCAAATTACTAGAAATTATCATTTTTTGAGAAGAATATTTCATCTTCATTTCGATCATCTTTTGTAACATTTCGCGCAAAAGGATGCACGTAATTTCGTAATTCGTCGCGAAGATTGAAGAGGAGATAGGGAAGGACAGGGGACCGGATGTCATACTTTGAAATGCATTTTAAGGACATAAGTCGAATTCGAAGAAGAACTTCCAAATATGGGATTCATTTTCAATGCTTCCATTGACCCGGTGATCCCTTTGTGCGAATTTTCGTATTTCGCGTGTGTTATAAATTCAGCCGTGTAACGAATCTCTGGAGCCTTGGTCGCGGTACGCGAACCGAATATATAAAGTTAATCTATCTTCACCCGTGGCAAGGGGATCGCTGCCAAAATTCCTTTTCTGCAGGAAGTATGCACCATTTGTTTTACCATTCTTATGCACTCCCTGCAATATTAACGCGTACCATTTTTTAGTGTATTTTTTAGTGTACCTACGTTGAATTTTTTTTCATTTATGACTAGGAGAGGAAATGAATGAATACAGTGGAATTATTCGAAATAATTGGGTAAATTTAATTGTTAAAATTAGATTAAGTAATTTTTAAGTACAGAAATTTATTGGATAAAGGATTTTTCAAGATGAATTAGAATGTGAATATTTTCAGGTATGATCTTGTGTATAATCTACTTTAGAAACATGTATCTTTGTATCTTCTCAAGAAATAATATTTCAAATACTTCCAAACTATTTTCAAATAGTTTTTAATTTAATTATTAATATGATATTTTGGAGTAATTATTTTAACATGATATATAAAACATTCAATTTATTTTCAATGTCAAGAAAAAAACATAGGTTTGAATATAGTCATTAGTTTTTATGTTTATTATATTCTGATTAGTCTACTTAGAAAATGAGTATTATTTATGTTGAATCTGAATATAAATAGTATTTGTCAGTGATTTAAATATTAAATGATATAATAATCTTCTAGTAGTATTTATTTAACGTACATTTATTCACATTTTATAATTAGCAAATAAAATTTAGAATTTTCTTAACAAACATTTTTATCTTTACTTTTGTTTATTGTACGATTTTGGAATAATTTTGGGAAATATTAAACGAAAAATTATCAGAGTTTTAATCAGTTGATTTGCACGTATATTTAAAAATCATAAATATATAAAAACTGATAGAAATTATTAGAATGCTAATTAATTTTAAAAACTTATTTATTTTGTTATACATCTTATGCTTTAAATTTTTATTCTATAAATAAATTTTCATCTTATAAAAAATGATAGAGTAAATAATTTTTCCACATTTATTATTATATCCTATAACTTGTATCGTTTTCAACTTACATACTTAATCTCGAAATGATAGTCTGTTGGAACTAATTTGGCAGAAAATGTGTTAACCTGTTTAACTGCTGTAAAATCGAATACAATGTTGTATCTCATTTTTCTTCTAGCCTGTCATCAATTCAATTCAGAGCATCATTTTTCTTCATCTCATTTATCCATTCATAAATTTTCCTAATTCATGGTTAACTATAAATCAAGATGATAATAGTTGAATAAAGATTTTTGATCCGTAGTATATTTAAAATATTTTATTTTATTCAATTTGTTTTCATTTAATTATTTATATTAAATAATTAAAATGTTGAATATACTTGTATTTACATTACGTAGAAACATTATTATATTTAATTACACATAGTTATATTATAATCATATTAATGATTATATAATGTAATTATATTTATAATATAAAGAATGTATTAAGCACCTAACATACAATCAATTATTAAAATATTATATATTAATATTAATGTTATCAAAATGTTAAAGTTTCATTAATTAATATTGAATAACTTCTATAGAGTTTAAATTTTGTTTTAATTAATAAAATAATTCTTCCTATCTACTTAAATCTTTAGATTCTTAAATTTATATATAGAAACTGGCAATATAATAAGACAGAATAGCAGAATAACGAGAGGATAATATAATTTTAATTTATCTATAATTTAATAGTTTTTTAAATTCAGATTTTTATCCTATTTTTATACAATTCCAGTGATCTCTTGATTGTTACGCAATTCTCCAATGAAACTTTATTTCAAGTTACACGCATCTAAATATATCGCCTCAAAGGATAACATCAGAATTTAAACGATCGAAATTAAACATTTTAACATTCACGTTTATCTACGAATCTCTTGTAATCTCAATTCGCAAATTCGAACGAACTTTCCAAGACATTCCATTACCTAACTCTTCCAGAATACAATTTTTTTAAGAATAGAAGAATTCTTCTCAAAAAAAAAAGCTCTTTTTCAATCATTAATGAAAACATTGTTTCTCTTGAAACAAAAAAAAAATAAAAAAATGTATTCGTTAGTTCAATAAAAAACTAATTATATTCGGTGTACAAATAAATTTGAGGATAAAACTCGCGAATGTTGTTCTGGGAAAGGGTATTTTTCATAAGTGGACTGCCCGAGGGTAACTTTCACTCCCAACACAATGTCCATTATCGAAAAAATAACTGTCGAGGGACAACATTCGAGAGTTTTATTCTCCCAAAAATATTTTAAACAAATAACTAGTAAATGACCGACTATTATTACTTAGACTCGCAATTAAAATTAATCATTTAATATTGCGCAGCATTGAAATGGTTAACCAACCAATTGTTCAAATATCGATTCACTCTATTTGAAAAAAGGAAGACACAGGAATTGGAATCGTTTGCTCATCAAATTAAACGGCGAAACTTCCTTTTCTCTTTCGTGTTACGCCTACGCCCCCCCTCCCCGTGTAACAAATGCAAGTGTACGGTGTCGTATGGTTCTGTAATTTGGCAATAAATCTTCCTTCTTGGCCCGGGAAAAAAGGAGTGGAGAGAGTCAAAGGATCACGTGCAACAGATGTAAGCCATGATGATGTCCTTTATAACCCACGGCTATTGGATTTCTTTTTCTAAGGTTACGCGAAAACGAAACGTCCAAGAAACCGGTAAACGCGGTATTTTGACGAATCGAATTTGGTAATAGGTCATCCTCTCCTGCCGTGTTTCGTCATTTTGTCGAATTTTAAAATTTGATTGCTCTCATCATGATAAACTCGATGTTCTTTTTTTTTTTTTTGTTATCTATTATTGCACGTAGATGTATTGATTCTAATCTATTATTTTTTTCTACTTTATATATTACTCTATATATAAAATATCGTCTTTTTAAGAAACTATTCATCGTCGATTCTTATTTGATCAACGCTTCTTTGTGAAAAAAAGAAGCGTTGTAAGACGGTTGGTTGGTGAACGTTTGGGCTCGAGTGGATGCTGAGAAATATCCTTTTGAGTCATCTACCAGTTTCTGCGTATGATTGTTAGCCAATCTTTTACTGTCGGTAAGACAGACAGTTGTATTTTGGTCGCAAATAATAAAGAGGTTTTGAAAAATTTAATGTAGGAATTTTTTGTAAATTCCTATTTCAAATTATAAGACTTGTATTTTCTAAAATATTAAAATTTATAAAGAAGTTTTAGTTCCTTTAGTTTTATTTGACATTATTTGAGAAAAGATTAAAAATTATTGATCAGTTGAAATTAATTTTTTTTTTTCACACATTTATTGGTATTAAAATAATAAATTACATATTCTAATAACAATTAATAATAAGTTGAAGATATTTCAATATTTTTCAGAAGACAAGTTATTACATAATTGGAATCTTGAAAACATTTTTTGAAGTGAAAAATAAAAAAATGAAAAAGTTTATAAATCAAGTAAATGAAAATTGTTATAATTTTTTTATTATCATATTATTATAGAAATAACTTACTTGTTAATAACATTCAATATCTAAAATAGAAAATCTTACTTTCTGATTAAAAAAAAAAAAAAAAAAACATAAAAAATAATTTCACGATATCAACAAAAATTTCAGAATAAGAAGTTTACATTATGACAATATGAATCTATTAAATTTTAACATCTGCCTCTTAGTTTTTTT